AGTGTTAGCTCCAGAGCTAATATATAGTGTTAGCTCCAGAGCTAATAGTGTTAGCTCCAGAGCTAATAGCGTTAGCTCCGGAGCTAATAGCGTTAGCTCCAGAGCTAATATATAGTGTTAGCTCCAGAGCTAATATGTAGCGTTAGCTCCAGAGCTAATATATAGTGTTAGCTAAAAGAGCTAAAAGCATTAGCTGCAGAAAACGTTTCTGCAGAGAAACATCTCAAATTGATCACGTTTGATCGACAGAAGAACTAAAAAAATATAACTTTGCAAACAATGTACGTCATTAACCAGAATGCATTGCACCGGTAAAATAATGGCGACCTCCTTAACTAGAAAATGTAATAAACAAACATTTTTTAAAGTAATTAGGAGTTTTCACGTGTCACAAACAGGTTTTAGTAGAAAATGGAAACGTGTGCACGTTTTTAAAACCATCCAGGAGACTTTAATGTTCCAGTTCACTGAGAAAGGCAGACTTTAGACTTAAAAAAAATATATATTTTACAGTAGAAGAAACACACATGTTCTGTTAGTTCCTTTTGGATCTTTTCAAAAGATCTTTCTTTACTCATCTTCTTTTGTTTTTGTGACGTCCTGACGTTTATACAGTTAACCCATCAGCTCGTTTGATAAAATCAATCAGTGCTTATTGTTAAACAAATTCTCTTAGCTTTAGGCCGTGGTAATCTCTTATCCAAAGCCACATTTGCAGGCTTTTAATTATTTTCCTTTAAAAACGTTAAACACTGTTGAGTTAATGTTAAGGCAGACTGTCCTGGAGATCCTGAGAGTTCTGCCTATAAATAGAAGCAGCAGCGAACAAACACTCCACCCACACAACCTCAGGAACGAGTAACGTAAAACTGCTAATAACTAAAAAATCAGGATGTACACACCATTGATGCCCACTGTACAAACTGGCCTACTTACTGTCTTTGATCTGACTGGGGGAGACTGTGGGGGGGAGACAGGTGAGGGAGGCAGCAAGGAGTGAGGAAGAGAAATGTGGGGAAAGAGGGCGAAAAGCTAATGATGTAAAGATGGAACAGTAACGAGTGGAGGGAATGTCGGGTAAGAGAGAAGATGCACGTCAGGAGAAACGATAAGAACCTGTCTATCATCCATTCCATCCATCATATATATATATATATATATATATATATATATATATATGTGTATCTATCTATCTATCTATCTATCTATCTATCTATCTATGTATCTATGTATCTATCTATGTATCTATCTATGTATCTATGTATCTGTCTGTCTGTCTGTCTGTCTGTCTGTCTGTCTGTCTATCTATCTGTCTATCCGTCCATCCGTCCATCCATCCATCCATCCATCCATCCATCATATATCTATGTATCCCTCCGTCCATCCATCTCTCCGTCCATCCATCTATCGGAGAAAGCCGGTGGTTAGCATGTTTGTCTCATAGCAAGGAGGTTGCAAGTTCATCTCCCTGATGGGGCCTGCTGTCCTCACATGTTTACCGTGGTACTCTGGTTTTCCAGCGTGCATGTGACGTTAACTGAGTATGATGAATTGCCCAATGGTGTGCATGAATGTTTGTCTTTGTCGTTATGTGTCTCTGTGTTGGACTGTCCAGTGTGTACCCACCTCTGTCCAGTCACCACTGGACACTGGTCAACTAGTCTGTGTTGTTGAACACTACTGTTGACATCAAGGATATCAAATAAATAAGACTTAGAACGTCTTAAACTAATTCCATGACATAACTCCATAAATCCATCCAGACGGTCCATCTGTCCGTCCATCAGTCATCTTCCTCTTGTTCTGGAGTCCAGTCCAGACATCTCTGTCCACAGCCCCCTCTTCCAGCTCCTCTGGGAGAACTGCTAGGTGTTCCCCAGGTTAGCTGAGAGATGTAGTCTCTCCAGCGTGTCCTGGGTCTTCTCCCAGTCTGACATGTCTGAAGCACCTCCCTAGGGAGGCGTCTAGGGGTCATCCTGATGAGAGGTCCAGAGAGAGTGGGAGAGAGAGAGAGAGTCCAGCTATCCTGCAGAGAGAACTCATTTAAACCTCCTGGATCCAGGATCTCATTGTTTCAGTCACTACCCAGAGTTCATGGCCATACATGAGGGTAGGAACATAAAGACTGAGCAGTAAACAGAGAGCTTCTCCTTGCAGCACAGCTCCCTCTTCACTACAATGGACCGGAACAGAGTCCACAATCACCTGCAACCATCTAGTTCAGTGTACCTGTGCCAAAGGTCCTTAATGTTACGGTTCGGACCTGTACCATTACACCTCCAGTATTCGCACGTTTGCAGACGATATTGTGAAGTATCTGAAAGGCCGCGGGACAAGGAGGTGATGAAAGGAAAAAATAATGATAGCCAAGGATAAAAAACTGAAAAGATAAATGTATAACTTTCATTTGTCTTTCTCCGGGGAGGCTCAGAGCCCGTGAGCATCACGTCTTATTTCAGTTTCTCATCTTTTTGTCCTGCTCCATCTTCTCTGCCATGCTCTCACTCCTCCTCCTCCCTGAGACGTCTTCAAAGAGAAGCCCTTTGGCCAATCAGCCGGCTGCAGGGATCTGTTTCTCTCTTAAACGTGTGTGTCTTCCAAACGTGTTTCCAAGTTGAGTATTTTAAGATGACCTCACTTAAACAGTAAAAAGTCTCACGCCCACATGAACAGTAAGCAAGCTTCAAGATGAGCAGTTTCTAAAGAGCCTCCTCATTTCAGCCTCGGGGGCCGGACGCTCTGTTCGCTCGCTCGGTTGTTTGCTTCAAACAAATCCTGGAACTGGAAGCCTCTCGTCTTCCAGCTGTACCCTGAACGTGGCGTCTCCGCCTGTTCCGTCTTCTGTGAGGACGCGTCTCATCAACACGTTGCTGTGTTTAAGACGATGGAGCAGGAGGGTCGCAGGACATCCGGTCATCTTTAGGCTCGATTAGGTGACCGTGAGCGCACGTAGGACTGACGGTGCACAACTCTGGGATGCTGGAAACTTCCTGTGGGAATGAATGTGGAGTTTAAAATAAAGACAATTAAACTGATTTAAATACAGTGGGGGAAAATCTATTTTCTGCATAGTCTCAACCAGAACAACCGGATTTTATGTCCACACCGAGAAATGAGAGGAACCACACCCTGAAACAGCTGTCACCTGGACATGCAGGGACAGGTGGACATGCAGGGACAGGTGGACATGCAGGGACAGGTGGACATGCAGGGACAGGTGGACATGCAGAGACAGGTGGACATGCAGGGACAGGTGGGACATGCAGAGACAGGTGGGACATGCAGAGACAGGTGGGACATGCAGGGACAGGTGGGACATGCAGGGACAGGTGGGACATGCAGGGACAGGTGG